GACTGTCCACGCATATTCAAGTGAGAGTGCAAATATTAGAATATAAAATATTTTTTTTTAAATGTTCATGACATTTCCCCCAATTTTCATTTCCATTTAATTTTTCAATCTCAACGGAAGGGGGGGGGGCGCAGCGCCCTCTTGCTTTTAGCTCATAGTTTTAGGATGCCCAAGCCCCACCCGAATGTGTGATTTGTTCGAGGATTTAGTATACTATAAAACATTGTTACACTTCATGGCACCGTTTTACATGTATGGTTGCTTAGCGTTCACAATCCCTTTATGGTAAACAATGCAAATAATTGCAAGATTATGCAAGCATTTTTTTTTGCAAATTTTTATCGGAATTGATGGCGCTGTCAACTGTTAAGGTATTAAAATTGTATTATATTTAAAGTTGCATAATACCTTCCAATTTCCTTAAAGAAAAGTTGGCGTATTTCAAGCAAAATATGAACAAATGTCTATTAACATTTATTTTAATTATATTTAATTAAACATCTATCGATGAACATCTGTTGAAATACATCATGTAGACGATAAGACACTAATTAGTGAGTTCTAATTTTACTTCAAGCTAAATAAATTGCAGTTATAAGGTTAACATAGTACATGTCTTCAAATATTAATCATAAATAATTAATAAATCAATCTTCGTTCAAAGCCAAAAAAAAACCCAAGTTGAGGAGGAATTTACAAAAATTTAACTTAAGGTTTTCCTTGTTAAGGTCAACCAATTCAAGTTAGAATTTTTAAACCACTCCAAGAATATTCCCGTGGTTTTACCGAGTTCTCCATTCAAAATTTGAGGCAAATCAGTCAAGAGGTTCATGAGTTATGATCGAAAATCCAAACAAACAAACAGCCAGACAAACAGAGAATATTGGGGGAGAAAATAGTGTGAAACAGAAAAAGGTTTTTAGCGAAATAGATATTTTCAATCTTTTGATAAAATTCATGTTAATTTTGACATGAATGTTTGATTATTTCTTTTACTTTTTCAAGTCTTTTCTGTACAAACTTTTAGCTTTTCTTCGATTGTTTTGCAAACAAAGCAGTGTTAAAACTAACAATTTTCTCAAATAATATACTAGACATTTTTACATTCATATACTAGACATTTTTACAATTTTCAATGTGAGAGCGGGGTATTTAGAAAATGTTTCAAAACCTTTCAATTCTATTTTTATTTTTTAGACATGTATATTTTCTGGTCAACTGGTGTTAAACTATAATCTACAATAGGAATAGAAATATATTTGTTGTCTTCGTATTTCATTGTTTTGTGGGCCCCCTGTATTAGAAACTGTTAATTCACTTTAGACGAAAACATGTATATCGAGGTCACCACTTTGTGACATTGTACCCTGTCTATTAAAATTGTTCCTTTCATATCTTAAATACATTAGGTCTGTCTATATAGTTCCTGTCATATCTCAAATACAAATCCAGTGCAAAAATACAATATTTATAACTGCTGTTTTGTTCTTGTATCATGTTGTTGTATCATGTTGCGCAAAAGAAAATTTGAATTTATAATCCTTGTTGACGCTTTTTACACAGTGCATAGTCACGTCTGAAATTATGCAGAAAAATGCACACGAGAAATGAACATGAAAGTGCACTAAATTGTGTAGTTTATCTTTCGTATTAATTTATTTTAATAGAAAATTTAAATAAGTTGTTTGTTTATTAATCTAATTTAATTAAAAGTCCGTCAAAAGTAAAACCTGCTTTAAACCATTTTATGATGAATTGACAATGATATCAAAACTTGTGTCCTATGAATCTTATGCAGATCTACAGAGTAATTTTATTATGATGGTCATACTCTGCAGGGATATATTTAATCAGGGGATCAAGTATTCATTTTCAAACATAAAAGTGTCCACATTGGATATCGAAATCAAGCGTTCAAGATAAACAGTTTATCCACACAGCTTCCTTTCTGTTTCTCATTTTTCTTATTCTTTAGTCTTTAGACTTCCCCAACCAATTTGTCTTGGTGCCCACAGTTCGTAAAAAATGATGCAAAATGCAAAGCAGTTTATAAACTGAACACATAATTTATTGATCGTAAAAAAACTTCTAAAATATTTGAAAGGCATAAACTTTTGCGTACTGCGGCTGGATTTTTGAAAATCATTTATAAATGTAATAATTGCCCCTAGAGTGAAATGTTGTGGCATGGAAGAACCATAGATAAATAAATAAACAAAGAAAGCAAAATCACCAAGAATTGTACAGTCCGCGAACTCATACTCCCAGGGGTCAAAGTGTACTTCAATGATAAGCCGGGTGGTTTTGTGTTTTAATGGATTTCATAATAGAGTGTAAAATAACTCCGGGAATGGAACTATTAGAACAACAATATTTCACTGAGCAATATATCATATTGACGAGAACTGAAGAAGGACATGAGAAGGACTAAACTAACTTAAATTTCTCTCTACAGAACTCATGTACACCACAAGCACTCAATGACATAAAAACAGCCAATGTTCACAACCGACCTAGTTAATATATATAATAGGAATATCTTTTAAACATCTCTGTACATTTATATCTTTCAAGATGAAAAATGTCTTCTTATGCGCAATTTATCTTTATCTATGGAAGAACCGAACTAATTAGAAATGTCTAGTTGTGTTTGTAATGCTGAAATTCAAGTATTCAAGATCATTATAGTTTAAAAAAGTAAAAATATACCTTTAACATTTTTTAAATAAGATTTGAAAAGAAAATTGAGGAAAATTCATTTCTCTAAAAACTAAGAAATTTACATCATTTGATTGAAACTTACAGATTCTATATCAGTAAATTTGGAATACATTAAACCACATTGTTTAAAGGAACTGTAAATGTTATTTCAAGCAATCCATCATTTATAAATCACATAGATCCAGGTAACAACAAAGTTTTGTATCGTCACAGTTTGAGAAATGTAAACATAAACAAATTGGACAATTATATTTGAGGAAAGATGCAACCCATGAACCTGGCACTGTCAGAAGCTTGACATTAATATGAATACGCGTGTCTGTGCATTAGAATATTTACACGTCATTTTATTATTATATATTAACAGTCGTCTCAGTTTCTAATCATTTTCTTTTCAGGCCCGAGGATATTAGTGGTGTTCTGTTAATATATATTCTGTAGAAGAGTGGGGGGGGGGGACGAGGCCCCCTTGCATAGAAAATTTCACGTCAAACTTAAGAAACTAGCTCTTAACATTGAAAAATTTTATGTTTTCAAAAAATCCGCTTATTTAGACGAGCTGTTGGGTTTTCTAATTTTCAAAATAAAACTATTCATTTAGAAGTTTTCTTAGTAGGATAATGAATATATAGCTAATATTAGAAAATTTTATCAGATTATTATGCTGAAATTTGACAATATCCACATAGATCGAATAGAAACTTCAGGAAAAGTTATTAAAGTTACTTGCTTTGTAACAACATCAAATGCACTCAGTATTGATGTAATGTCGTCTTCCAATTTAGACACTCTAGTCTACATTTTGGTTGGTTTTCTAACTAATTATACAAAACACACTCATAAACAAACTTTCTATAATGATCACTGTATTATTTTAAAAAAAAATATGTTGAAAAAAAAATCTCATCCTGCATGATTAATGGGGACATGAAATCCTTCAAGTGCCCCCTGACCCTCTAATTCTACAGGTGCAACAGAACAGGTGTGGAAAGCTGTTTGCTGTACACTAAAGTACTATAGTGATAACCAAGAAAACTGTAGAATAGGAAAACGGCAGTAACGCAATACTGAGTGCATTTGATGTTGTTACAAAGCAAATAGCTTTACTAGTAATTGTTCTATAAATCACTAACTATGTGAAATGGGTCTGTTTACAATGCACAATCGGTGTGTATCCTGTTTATTGGACCAATAAAGTCATAACTTGAGTCTAAAAGTCCACATCTTATTCCAGAGTTTTCTGGTTATATCTGTATGTAGATAGTAGACCTCGATTGCGAGGTTAAAGATAAATAGAGTCTTAGTAATGACTATTTATAGAAACCCCGGTCAGTTTTTCACTGAATATTATAATAATTTGATAAATTAGTTTCTCAACAATTATTGATTAACATGATGTTTTTATTCTTAGAGAAAGTACAATGACTTAGGGATATGTATTCGTATATAAATCGTAAACCCAGAATTTTACTCTTTTATTTAACAGTTGTGTAATGTGTAAGTTATGTTACGTACGATCGTATCTTTTACAAATTACTACTCTATGGTTTGAATATAAACAGTATATTGCGTGTGTGTGATGGGAGGTGAGGGGGGTATAATTATATCAATAATTATTTTCCTTATTTTCCTGTTTTTTTAAGATTGGAGACATAGGGGATTCGACAGTAAATATGGTATCATAAGGTTATTTAAACGACTTAGTGTGTGAATTGTAAGTATTTCAATTTTAATGTGCTGTGGACTGCCTCTCCTCTCTTGCTCTAAGAGCAACTCCCCTCTTGCTCTAAGAGCAACATCCCCATGTCTATCTATCTTTATATAACCTTTTACATGTCAATAAAGGCTTCAACTTTATTTTATGGACATTTTGTATTTGTAATGTAAAGGAATGTATAAAGTGATCAAAGGGGATATGAAAAGTGATAAAAAGGGATGTAAAAAGTGATCAACAGGGGTGTAAAAGTAATCAACAGGGGTGTAAAAAGTGATCAACAGGGGTGTAAAAAGTGGTCAACAGGGGTGCAAAAAGTGATCAACAGGGGTGTAAAAAGTGATCAACAGGGGTGTAAAAAGTGGTCAACAGGGGTGTAAAAAGTGATCAACAGGGATGTAAAAAGTGATCAACTGGGGTGTAAAAAGTGGTCAACAGGAAAATAAAAAGAGATTAACAGGGATAGAAAAGTGAAAATAAATATTGAGAACACACATTTCAGAAAAATTAACAAAACAACTAAATATTTAAAACAAAAGAGGGTTGCGAAGCGCTCTTTTAAAACCTGTTATTTATATATTCAACTCCACATACCTGAAAAAAAAATATTCTAAAATAAAATTATTTTTTTAAACAGCATTTTTATTAAATTTTAATTTTTACTATTTCTTTTCTATTATATAAATATATAGATAGATAGATAGATAGTTAAATTGTAAGATAGATAAATAGATAGATGAAAAGATAGAAAAGTGTCTCAATTTCAGTTTAAAACTTCACTTAAACCAGGAAAATGTTCTGTATAAAGAATAGAATATGTTCATGTTTATGTTACCATATAAAAAGTGTGGGGGGCACAGTAGGGTATCAGGGGGGGGGGGGAATCAGCAATATTAAGTTTACACCATAAACCTCTTATTCAAGTCAAATATGGCTCGGGTGCTATGGCAATTTTTTATAAAAGTGTCGAAGTCGTATGAATGTTACATTGAAATTCTAAAATCGGAAAGAAAACTATTCCGTGAAAACTATTAATTTTATTCACGAACCAGAGACCAAACAATTTCTTGAGCGGGATTGCAGCGCTCCCAAATCTTTGATTAACGGACATTAAAATAGACTTAATTAATATATAAAAAGATTATCGTAAATCTGTTGTAATCTTATGTAAAAAAAACTGTAAAGCATATGTTTTTTTTGCAATCTTTATATTATCCTACGTAACATATGTAGTGTACATTATGACTTTTCAAATGTACACAATATTAAAGGATAATATAAATATAAATATAAATTGAAATCTTTATAAATCAATGCAAGATACAATTGATACAATGTTTGTAAATTAAAAGATTATCAGAATATATTCATTTCGTCCATTTTCATCATGAAGATTGAATTGGAAGATTGTGACAAAAACAATTCAACCCCCCCCCCTGACCCCAACAATATCCCACCATGGGGGGGGGGGGGGTGCCCCAGATAAAAGTATTCTTGCTATTTCTTTAACTTGTTTTGCCAACTCGTGGCTCAACCGTACAAAATTCTTTTACTTTAAATGCATTGTTGCATCACAGTGCCTTACTTATAAACAGAAGATGGGGTGCTAAGTGCTCTGCATTACACGCTTACAAACGCTTTAGTTTTATTATAAAGCAATAATTAGGCAAAAGTAGCCGAAATCTACATCAAAGTTACATTTTAGAAACCCGAAACATAATTTGATATAAATTTAGTTCAAAATTTTAATGAATCAGTTACACAACATAAAATAAAAAAATCAACTAAAAGTAACGTAATGTTTAGTTCACATTAAGCTAAAGTACATTTTGTTTAAGATTGAAATCTAGTTTTAAGCATAAATTCTAATTCTGAAAGAGAAGTGACGTCCTAAGGAACGATTATTTAGCCCCAACGAGACCGCGATCTCCACTATATTGTATTATTTCAAGGTTATATTATGTTGAGACAATATCTAGGCCGAACGCTGCGACTAGGACAGGCTAAGGTGGAAAGGATCACGGCAAGGAGAAGCTGTGGGCCTAGTACTTTGGCTAAGACAGGCTAAGGGGCAAAGTATCACGGCAAGGAGAAGCTATGGGCCTAGTACCTTGGCTAGGACAGGCTAAGGGGCCAAGGATCACGGCAAGGAGAAGTTATGGGCCTAGTACCTTGGCTAGGACAGGGTATGGGGCCAAGGATCACGGCAAGGAGAAGCTATGGACCCAGTATCTCTGCTAGGACATGGGGCCGGGTGCTAAGGTCTTACGTCTAACTTTTCCCGCAACCCTTGTAATTTTCAATCTTGGTTAGATCTAGACCAGAGGAGTAACAAGGTCTCAAAATTATACCAGCACAACCGTGGTCTTTAGAAGCGCTCTACATCTTGGTAAAAAGTTCATTTGGTAAGCCATCATAAATTTTGCTATGTTTCTCTTGATATATATTTTTAAATAGTGTAATTTTCAAAATTTATAATATTATATATTTTGTTTTAAAACTATGTTTGACTTTCATTTTCAAATCCCGGAATGGTAGTTGGTTATGCAATATATATATGTATATATTTATAGAAATAGAATAAATAATTTAAAATTATGGCAGGTTTTATTTCTATTTTAAATAGTTACAAATTAACTTTCTGATTTATTACCAAAAATTGTACATCTTTAATAGTAGTTATAATAACAATAATAATGATAAGAATATGAATATTAATGAACAAATTTATAAATTAATAAAAGTGATAATACATAATAAATTATCCCACTTATAATAATATTAATTAAGTTTTCAAGGTTTTCTAAGGTTTTATGTTTCTAGATGCAAATTGTTAATTATCTCTCTATATAGGAGGAGTCTAAGAACCTTTACAATTATAAGGATCTCAACCTTTACTCTAGAGTATAAAAAATATAAATAATTTAAATTTTTTAAGATATTTCCTCTGATTTGCCCATAATACAGGGATGATAATACACACAAAGGATGAGACTTCAGAGACGATTGTCAGAATTTGTTTATTCCGTTTTCTTACATTCAGGGTATACGGCCTATAAACTGGCGTATTCCTGGGCTGAGACATCTAGTAAACCATTAAAATAGTCAATTGAATGCAGAAACTAATCATCATCCTTCAAATTGTCATATTTTTAGAGCTTTTACAGTCACATACTTTGTGGGTAACTCTTTATATAATTTTCCAATCCCTATTTCGTTGAAATACAACTTTGATATTCAAACCTTTTTTTTGATCTACCTTAATATTATGTGGGTTCTACTTATGTTTTATTTCATCAAATTAAATACTTTCACGATTTTATGTTGAAATTATATTGGTTTTATACATACAGGAACCCATCGGTACCACGGAGTAACATTGACTAGAAAAAATCGATTTTTATTTCAAAATTCGAAATTTTTTATTCCACGGGCCACGCCGGGCACTTTAGTTAATACTTTAAATAGTAGGAATAGAAAGCTGGGAGGTATAGTGCCAGTAGTGAGGATGGGAGGGGGTGGGGGTTCACAGTGGGGTATTAGGAGGGGTCAGCCAAAATGAGTTAATTCAATAATTCCATAATTTATGTCAAATACGATTTGGCCGCTTTAGAATTTTTTAGAGGTCTCTGAGCTATTTAAATGTTATGTTTTAGTTTAGAATTTCGACAGAAAACCCGCTAATTCATTGAAAACTCTTAAAATAGGATTATTCAATACGCTACTCTGACTAAATCAAGGTTTTGGCGTGCTGCTGACGCCTCTAAATCTTTTCTTTATGTCTGTTAGAATCTATTTATATGATTAGATTATCCCGAAACCGCTTTTCTTTCTTGTACTTTTGATATAAAGTATATGCTTTTCTTCCAAAATAGTTCTCTGTAACAAAGACGACATCTAAATATATTGCGGGTTTACAGGATTCATTCAAGGAAAAATATATGCGCGGGAAAAGTAATTATAAATTGAAATAATCATAATTCAATGCAAGCTACAATAGATAATGTTTGTAAATGAAAAGATTATCAGAATATATTCATTTTGTTCATTCTCAACTATGGGACCAAGACAAACGCATTTTAAGAGGAGTATTGTGACAAAATCCAGTCACCCCCCCTGACCCCCTAAATTACCACACCGTGGGGGGGGGGGGTGCTAGATATATAAATGCCCAAAAATCTAAAAAGCAATTAGCTCAGATTAGAAATGGTCAAATATAAAATTTCCAAAAGTTAAAACAATATTTTTTAAAGTATTGATACTCTGGTGGGACTATTAGGTCTACTTATGCAATTTTACCATAAAACTTTAATGGATTCATTAAATACTTTTAGCATTTGAAAAACATGCTACATAATGTTATCAACAGCCCTTACAATTCACATGTTACTACCTGTAGAAATAGTATTATAGTTCCAACTTGTAGAAATAGTATTATAGTTCCAACCTGTAGAAATAGTATTATTGTTCCAACCTGTAGAAATAGTATTATAGAAATAGTATTATTGTTCCAACCTGTAGAAATAGTATTATTGTTCCAACCTGTAGAAATAGTATTATTGTTCCAACCTGTAGAAATAGTATTATAGTTCCAACCTGTAGAAATAGTATTATTGTTCCAACCTGTAGAAATAGTATTATAGTTCCAACCTGTAGAAATAGTATTATAGTTCCAACCTGTAGAAATAGTATTATAGATTCAACTTGTAGAAATAGTATTATAGATTCAACTTGTAGAAATTTTAATTTTAGTTTTATCCTGTAGAAATTATATTATAGTTCCAACCTGTAGAAATAGTATTATAGTTCCAACCTGTAGAAATCGTATTATAGTTCCAACTAGTAGAAATGTCAAATCTGAAGTTAAATGTCAAAATACACTTGTAGAGTTGTGAGTTCTATCTTTTTATATTTTTATTCGTCCGAGGCCAGATTTAATGAGTAGCGAGAAGAAGACTTTGATATAGTCTTTCGGGTCAAGCTGAACAGAAATAGATCAGATTAGATAACATAGTTCAACGAGGGGAGGAAGGCCAGCCACAACAATTTCTCGCCCGAGCAAAAATATGAATCATATTAGGTAACATGGTTCAACGAGGGGAGGAAGGCCAGCCACAACAATTTCTCATCCGAGCATTAATATGAATCAGATTAGATAACATGGTTCAACGAGGGGAGGAAGGCCAGCCACAACAATTCCTCGTCCGAGCATAAATATGAATAGGCTTAAGTATTGCAATAATTAAATCATGTTGGAATCTTAAAACTAATGAGAATTATGTCAAACTTTATTTAGGTAAAACTTAAATCTCTTCTGTCTCAGTAATGGTTAACCTTCGTGATATAAAATAAATTGTAGAGTATTTGGCATACCTCTACCTATCATTTTCCCCGTGGATTTTCAATGGTTTTCTATAAACCAAAAAGGACATATGTCAGATTTAGAATAAAAGTTGTAGCATTAAACAGATCATATTCAACAATTACGCAACCAATCTGAGAACGATTTTATCCCACAGGAGCCTGAGGAGACATGACGTGCAATGAATCAAAGTCATAATATTTACAGGAGCGGTTTGAGTTAGAATAAAGAG